ATATGTGGCCCAGAGCCATTCCCCTGATCTAAAGAGAAAGACGCTTCTTAATGCTCACCTTCTATAAGATACAATGGATGTCAGAAGACAATGCAATGATATATATAAAATATATTATTGCTGAAAAATCTGTCATAAAACCAGAATGCTTTATATGTTTTATATACCTCTGTGTGTGTGCGTGTGTGTGCATGTGTATTTTATGTGTATGTATGTAGATATGGGGGTCTCGCTATGTTGCCCAGGCTGGTCTCACACTCCTGGCCTCAAGCAGTCCTCCCACTTCAGCCTCCCAAAGTGTTGGTATTATAGGCATGAGCCACTACACCCGGACTATATACCAAATTTTGAGACAAGGAGACCCACCAATGATTACCTTTATTGCCATGTCAACTCTTCTTATAATCACATTGATTAGGAAAGTTAGAATCAGCATTGGCCTTTTTTTTTAAAACATTATCTTGTTTATTAATGTAAAAATATACCACAAACTACAACACAAAATAATAAAATCAAAGCTAAGCAATAAAAAGCAAAGATTAAGCAAATAGCAATGATATACTTTAATGAGTGCTACTTACCTGATTTTAATAATTATAGGGCACACAAGCAGGCATGTGCTGGGTACTTCGGTCACAGCAACATTAGAAAAGTATCAAAACCATAAGCTGAGCCTGGAACATTTTGCTATTCCAGAAACAAAGCAGTCTCCATGGGACTGTAATTGGAACACTTCCTTTACTTCCTTCTCATGTGAAAAGCAAATTGTCCAACAGAGTCTCCATGCATTATGACAAAAATGCCCAGTCAACAGTCCTATCCCATCCCAGCCACTCCAACTGCTGAAAGGAAACAACGACTAAGTGAAGGAAACAGGAGGACCAGAGAGCAGTGCAAATAAGGGATTGACAAGAGAGAAGACATGCCACTGAAAGAAATGAATAAATGAATGGGCACGTATGTTAAGAGTTGGTTAGGAAGAAAAAATAGGAAAATTGAATGTAGCAGGAAAGTGTTTAAAAGGAGCCTTCTTTGGATTATCAGACCATCACATGAAAAGGATGGTGTAGTGGAGAATGTTAAGTCCTGAATCACCAGCAAGATTTTAAAAGCTTGCAACAAAAAATCTACAAACTGCAAGAAATAAAACGCTATACTTACAGAAACTAACATTAAGTATATCTTCATTAAAATGAGTGTTCAATTTAAATATATCTGAAGATATTTAAGTTAGTTTAATCAGATCACTTTATTTGATAAACTGAGATCAGGGCCTCTAAGAGGATGCTTGTTTTGACTACAGGGCAGAATGTTAGACAAGGACATAACGATAATTGAGAGAGGTCATTTTTATGTACAAACTACTATCACTATTAGAAGATAAGTCTACTGTATGAGGCCAACCTCCCTCTAGTTCCCAGGCTGACTGTAGACTGTATACATGCACAATAGAGACTGAGCGACAGAGCAAGCTCTCATCTCTGAAAAATAAATAATAATAAAATAATAAGCTGGGCTCGGTGGCTCAGCCTATAATCCCGCGCCTTTGGGAGGCTGAGGTGGGTGGATTGCCTGAGCCTGCTGGTTTGAGACCTGCCTGGGCAACTTGGCAAGACCTCATCTCTACAATAAATCAAAAATTAGCCAGGCATGGTAGCGCACGCCTGTAGTTCCAGCTACTCGGAAGACTGAGGCGGAAGGATTGCTGGAGCCCAGGAGGTGGAGGCTGCGGTGGCTGGGAGCGGCCACTGCATTTAAGTCTGGGCAACAGAGTGAGACTCCAACTCAAAAATAATAATAATAATAATAATAATAATAATAAAAATAAAAATAGCAGCCTGGACTGTCTATATTCATACTAAAAATGTGGTTTGGAGAAATTCTCACATGAAGACATAAGTATGTGCTGCAACACGTGTTTTTGTTCAAAGACTATAGTTATTAAGCGCCAACGGTTTTCCAGGCAGCACTAGCTACTGGGGACACAAGTGAAGAAAGTTAGGATCTCAAGAACTTACTCATAAAATGGGACCAATTATCCTTTTTTTTTTTTTTGAGTTGGAGTCTCACTCTGTCGCCCAGACTGGAGTGCAGTGGCCGCTCCCGGCCACCACAGCCTCGACCTGCTGGGCTCCAGCGATCCTTCCGCCTCAGCCTTCCAAGTAGCTGGAATTACAGGCATGCGCTACCATGCCTGGCTGATTTTTTGATTTATTGTAGAGATGAGGTCTCGCTGCCCAGGCGGGTCTCGAACCCGCGGGCTCAGGCAATCCACTCACCTCAGCCTCCCAAAGGCGCGGGATTACAGGCTGAGCCACCGAGCCCGGCTCAATTATCCTTATTAACTAACAACTGATTACTTACTGTAGTGAAGCATTATGAAGGAAAATATAGTACAATAAGAAAGAATAAAAGAGAATTTTAAATGCAAGCAATTTTTTAAGTCTACTGTTCCACCCAAGTTATAACTTTAATTAATCAAATTGTATTTTAAGTGTGCTAGAAAACTTTAAAAATTTAAAAGGTACAATAGCAAAGTCTTATGTAAGGGTAACTGGCCAATAGTCACCCTCTGAAGTTCTCTATTTTCTAAATCTAATAAGGACTCAACTTGACCTTTTTTTTCCCTCTCTTATCCAAATTCCTAAGAGGCTTGGGGAGTCATGTCTGATAAGGACTTACCATACAAGGTTTTATTCCCCTATTACCCTATATACCAAAGTTTATTTTCCAACGTGACTCTGGCATAGCATCATATAACAAATAAAGAAGCAAATCAAAGAATTTTCTGGCCCTGTAAAGTCATCTCTTGGGGACTCCCAGACACTGGGAAACTTGAAAGACACTTACCTATCCTCTCTGAAATCTGCCACATATAGGACTTCAGCAAACTTGGAGTTTTTTTCTGACCCCTTATCACAACAAAACATCTTCTCTACTGATTTCCACAATCCCTTAGATAGGAACTACAAATTACCAGCCAAGAAATCTTTGAATCCACCTATGACCTGCAAGACCCTCTACCCACCCAGCCTTGGAAATGTCCCTCCTTCCTGAACCAAACCAATGAAAATCTCACATGTATTGATTTATGGTTTCTTAACTTCTGCCTTCCTAAAATGTATACAACCAAACCACCATTAAATCACGGTGGGTCTCAGAACCTCATGAAGATGGGTCTTCCTGGGCCTAGGTCCTCAAGTTTGGTCTCAGAACCTCCTGAAGATAGGTCTTCCTGGGCCTAGGTCCTCAAGTTTGGTTTATTAAACCATCTTAAAATATTTTACAGCAGAGCTCGGTGGCTCAGCCTGTAATCCCACGCCTTTGGGAGGCTGAGATTGAGTGGAATGCCTGAGCCCTTGGGTTCGAGACCCGCCTGGGCAGCGAGACCTCATCTCTACATTAAATCAAAAAATCAGCTGGGTGTGGTAGCACGCGCCTGTAATTCCGGCTACTCGGAAGGCTGAGGCAGAAGGATCGCCGTAGCCCAGCAGATCGAGGCTATGGTGGCCAGGAGCGGCCACTGCACTCCAGTCTGGGCGACAGAGTGAGACTCCAACTCAAAAAAAAAAAATTTTACAGAGTTTGGCATCTTTTTGTCAATATTAATTAAGGTACAAAGATTATCTGTACCCAAAGGGATTATTTGGTAAGGCAAGATGATGACTAGGAAAGAGTTAATCACCAATGATTTATTTTACTTTTTTAGATATGGGGTCTTACTTCATTGTCTAGGCTGGACTCAAACTCCTGAGCTCAAGCAATCCCCTCACCTCAGCCTCCCAAGTATCTGGGACTACAGGCACAGAGCACCATGCCTGGCCCACCACCGATTTTTAAGAAACTATTTAAGACTACTGAAACTTAAGGTCAATTTAAAATATCTTTTTTTAAATTGAGTGTTAAATAGTTACAAGTCACCTAAAATCTGCCTCCAATCTTTTCTTTGGCTTCCCTCTTCCCTTTAACCACACAATACGTCAAACATCCAAGTTCTTGCTAAGAAATTCAATACTGCCTCTGAAGAAATGGCTATAGCTAAGCTACCAAAAACTGAACTCTGGACATTCTTACAATTATTACTTTCACTGTTACAAAGCACTTACCAATCTCCTATTTGCTGTGTCCTTAAATTAATAGCCATTAACGTCCTCACATAGAAGTTACAAACTTCAACAATGCTCTGCAGTTATTTCCTATAGGATATGTTGGAGCTCAGAAACCTATATCCCAAAATATGGTACACTGGCATGTTGAACTAAGAAGCAGACTCAAAGTCTCCCAGGCATCCCCATCTTCCCAACCGCCACACCCTCACTGTCTCTCCCAAAGTGCAGTCCTTTATATCTGCCTAAGATCCTAACCCAAGGAGAACAATTGTATTTTTCTTCCCCTGCCCATGAGACCAAGAATATAACCACACTTGAACAGTCTCATTCACTGTCAAAGAGAATTATATAAGTTAATTTGTTTCCAGATCCATTCATTTTCCCTAGTAATTATTTATTGCCCCACAACAGAATCCCTCTTTTCCCTCCTCCTATAACCTATTTTGCCAGGATATAAGCTTCTGAACCCCATTGAGGGATGGGCAATTACTCAGTGATTCTTCCTGTATGCGCATCAAATAAACGTGTATGCCTTTTCTCCAATTAATCTGCCTTTGTGAGCTGATTTTTAAGCAAACTTTAGGAAGGCAAAGGGGAAGTTTCCCTTGGCCCATACAGGTATCTGAAAGATCTTCCTAAAATACAGTTCATTTGTATAACAGCACTCCTAACAGTCTGGCTCCATGGGAGTGCAGTGCTACCCAGGAATATTTAATGAGGTGTTTTGTGCAGGTGGTTCAACAGAAAACAGTGGCAACACCCCAATGAAACAAGCAGTCTTAAATCACCATTAAGAGCTACTCCCAAACACATCTAGACATAATATAACCTGCAGATATATGCCTAAGAACTTCCACCTTATAAACAGGAACACATTTCAGCAATACTTACAGTCAACATTGGAGTTGTCAACAGGCCCCAGGCAAAGAATTCAAGGAAGATGACAATAGCAGCATGGTACACACTTGGTCGGCCAAAACCTTGGAGCTGAAAAACAAAAGTTATTATGAAAAATAGCAAAGAGATTTAAGAAATCTATTACCTTAAAATGATATAGAAAAAAGTGTATAAAATAAATGAAGAGTCCAAATATATTATCTAGGATAAAACTTCATTCTGTGGTGTCCTTGATACCTTCTCCTCCCCTCATCATGAAAGGTGCTAGATTACAATTTTCTACTTGTTCTGTCAATGCAAATCACTGGAGCTCTGGTAAAAAATCAACTGGGTCTTCGAGAGACTGTGGTTCCAAGACCTGACTGTTCTGTACCTAATTATGTGTTTCTAAGCAACTTAACCTCTCTAGGACCAAAGTTTCTTTAGCTACATAATAAGAGAGAGGTTATGGGGGGTCATATACTCAAAAGCCTCAGGGGCAACACAGATGATTTAAATAAATGGAGGAGAGGCAAGACAGACTAGGTCAAATCTGCAAACACACTCCACATGTAAAGGTGTCAAAATCCAGCCTTTTGTTTCAATTGTGTTTTAAAGACTGTGTCTAATCTGCTAGTTTCCTGCAGTTTGTGACTGCTCAGAACAAAATTTAAAATTCCTTTAAAAAATGTAAGATTGAGCTGGGCTCGGTGGCTCAGCCTGTAATCCTGCGCCTTTGGGAGGCTGAGGTGAGTGGATGGCCTGAGTCCGCGGGTTCGAGACCCGCCTGGGCAGCAAGACCTCATCTCTACAATAAATCAAAAAATCAGCCGGGCGTGGTAGCACATGCCTGTAATTCCGGCTACTCAGAAGGCTAAGGCGGAAGGATTGCCAGAGACCAGCAGGTGAGGCTGCAGTGGCCGGAAGCGGCCACTGCACTCCAGTCTGGGCGACTGAGTGAGACTCCAACTCAAAAAAAAAAATGTAAGGTCACTTGACTGCAACAATGCTTATTGCAAGATCAGCTGGTGCTTTGCTAGTACTTGGCAGTAAATGACTGTGATACAGAAAGAAGGCTTCATAAAACCCACACTATTTCTATGTTTATATTTGCAAGTTTTCAAAAGGCAAAAAGTACACCTGCATGGTTTAACTAGAATCTAATCATGGGGTAGTTAGACAAATCCAGATTATAGGAGAGTCTGCAAGACAAATGGCCTGGTCTTCTTAAAAATGTCAATGTCACAAAACAAAAGTAAAGGTAAGGAGAATAATCCAGATTAAAGGAGACTAGAGTCATGACCTAAGAGCGCTCCTGAATTAGACCCTGGATGAAAAGGAAATCATCAGAAATATACATATAAGAACTACATATTAGGTAATTATATGACATTAATGCTAAATTTCCTGGGTATTCTCAGTGTTGCAACTTACTGTCAGATGGTTTGGGGAAAAAAGTGGTACATATATAATTTGGAAGTTAAAAGTCACAAAATGTTAATTGTTAAGTTTAGATCACGGAAATATGAGTTCATTTTACTACTGGCCTCTATAGTAGGTAGTTTTTAAAGCCATTAACAAAATATTTGCAAAACAGAAAGCACTTATCAAAAGGCCCTTAACACATCAGGGCAACCTTCAAAAAATACTGGTTTTCACTAGTCCTTCACCAGGAGAACAGTGAATGGAAATGCCAGTCACTAATTCAGCCTCTGCCTGTGACAAAGCCTTCTGAGTGCCTGCGTGTTCCCTCCTTCCTTTTCAGTCCTTCCAGCTGCTGGAGTCAGAAACTTTGCTGTCATGCCTGCCTCCTCTCTTCCTTGCTGGCTCTCCCCTGGTCCAGTCTTCTACTCTTTCTGGCCTGAATAACTGAGCTGCTTCCCCAAAAGGATCCCTGCTTCCTTTCACCCTTGCTCCTTCATCTGCTATTGCCCTGATCCAACCTCCCTGGCTCCACTGCATTCAACGGCTCATGTTACATGCCCAACAAGATCCTTGGTGTACTCTACAGTTTTCGAGAGGATTTCTAACAAACTTCATTGTTTATTTTTATGTGTTGTCTACCTCCCCTGGAATGTGAATGCCACAAAGGAAAGGATTTTTGTCTGTTCTGTTCAACAATCCACCCCAAACAGCCTTTCTCTTACCTCACTATAGGTGAGCACTCAGCAAAGTATTCGTGGCAAAGAAGAAGTTATCTCTAACGTCTTTTCTCTACTCTTTCATTTTAAACAGTAAAACACAGAACGTAGAAAAAACTTTGGAACAGATGGCCCAGTTTTAACAGAGAAATTACATGAGTAAAGAAAAAAAGAACCGAGAACTACATAGTAGATTGATTAAAGGGAATTTTTAAAATATTAACCAGAAGCAATGAACGAACTTTGGATTTTGAATAAAACTGAAAAAACAATTTTGAGACACAGAAATGTGAAAATGGACTGAGTATTAATGATATTAAAGAGTTATACTCATTGTAATAATGGTACTAAAGTTAGATTTTTTTAATGTCCCTACCTCTTTGAGATACATGCTAACGTATTTATTTGTAAAATTAGGTGATATCTAGAATTTAATTTAAAATCTACAGCAAAATAAATAAATAAAAGTAAAACAAAAGTGTAGTTTCACAGATGAAGAAAATAAGGGTGAAAAGTAACAGTTATTGAAGATGAGTAAAAGGTACAAGGGCAGGATAGGGTCACTGAATGTTTCCTGTGTTATGTAAAAACTTCCTTAATAAAGATCTGGTTTTTAAGTTTGGACAATCAATGACAAAGATGATATCTAGTAGAAAATTATTCCAAAAATGGGTCTATATTATGTTTTGTATGATTCAGTTTATGCCTCCTTTGGCATTCCTTCAAAACTGGTACATATGTGCCGCACCACTGTACAGAAATTAGTTTTCAGTAACCATCTTAGGCACTTCACCTCGTGGAAAGGAAGTACAAGTATAGTTAGTCTCAGGAAACTGAAATTTATATCCAGCAGTACTTTAATAAATGTCAACAAATCATTGATACTAGAATGCTAGGGAAATGGTAATGACATTACTAAAATATATAAAACATCAATTTTTGAAAGCTGAATATAATTTGTGAGTTGGGAATCAGAACAGAATATGCATCACTTTCAATTTATTATCAGCCAACCCAAAAATATCAACTGCTTAACCCTTTACAGAGAATTACTAAGTAAAAGAACTACTCAGTTTCACTTTTGTGTAAATAAACTTGGAAAGTAATAGATTTTCAATATGAGCCACATAAAATATAGAACACCGAACTACAAAAAAATGTATATACTATATATACGTTTTAAAGTTCTGGTTAGATGATGGTGAACAAATTTTTAACTCTGAAATCTAATATTGATTAAGTAGCTTGACGTAAGTCCAATTCTAAGAGTAAAAAGCAAGTATGAATAAATAATCTATATGCATTTACTAATAATTTCCTATTTGGGTAAAAATTCTGATAGGTACTCACCCCACACTGCAAAGCAAGTGATTCTAAACCATGGGTGAATATGTCAAGAAGTGGCCTAAGTATTACTCAAGAATCATTCACTTTATTTATCAAGCATCACACATACAAGCATCACACAAACTCTTAAAAAGCTCACTGTAGGAAACAGAGGAAGGATACCCTGTTTCTGTAATTTTGTGCTCCTTCCCAGACAATAATGCTCTGTTTTATGAAAACCACTGGAATGCAGATACATGTGGCTACAATGCTGACTAAATATAAAAACAGATACATACACACTATAGTCTGTGTGATTTATGCTATATGCTATTTTTAACACCCTGCAAAAAAAGACATCTACCTTTTGTTCACTAATAGTATATGTTTAGATATTATTAATTACAAATTGCTAAGAAATATCTCTTTTAAAATGCAAATTTTTTTGCTTTCACCTCTATGTAAATTACTTTAATTGAACTATTATTCATTCCCAGCCAAGAACAATGATAGAGAGAGAAATATAGTATAAAGAGGGCCTTGGTACAGTGGGGAATGGTGTGGGAACAACTAAAGAAGGTAGCAAAAATAAATCTGCCTTCATTCCAATTCTTCCTAAACTCTTAGTGACCAATATACGGAAGAAAGACAGTGTCATACATTTTTCCTTTAAACTCCCTAAACTAATTAGAAGGACTTTATCAAAAATTAACCAATTATGTCCAGCCAAGCCTAATCTAGTATAACCTCTCTGGACCAGTTCTTTGTCTCCCCAGTCCATTCCTGCCCCTGCATAAATCAGTATGGAGTATCCTGAGATACCTCGATTCCAGAGGTGCCTTAGGAGCAGAAGATGGAAAGTGCATTAATGTCTGCACACTCACAACTCTCATGTCCCCTGTAGCTTACTGCCAACAGCCTTTTAATACCGCCTTGACTCCTTTTCCCTGCCCCCTCCGAATCTGTGTTGACACTACACTCAGAGCAAACTTTCCAAAGATGTGAATCATATCCCATCATTCCTGTGGAAGACTGCAAAAAGGGGTCTACAAATTTCTTCCATCTCTGTACACAACCTTTTCACAAGACAACTCTGCTGCCTATTCCAACAACGGGTGAACTCTATTTCTCCACCTTCCTAGATCTGGGCTTGTTTAAAAGCTTAACAACTGCTCTACTCAACAGAAATCGGGGGAAGCAGCAACATGGACTTCTGAACCAAGGTCTCCAGAGAGCTTCAAGACCACCACCTGGAGAAATCTCTTCTAGCCACAGGAGTATGAGGGCACAGGGGATTCTACATAGTAAGGCCTTACAGACCAAGTAATTAACAGCCATCCAACTGCCACACACAGGTACGAGGTCATCTTAAATCACCCAACTCCTAATCAAGCCTGCAGATGATTGCAGAAGCATGAGAAACCCCAATGAAATCAGTCAACAACCTCCAGCTGAGTTCCATTCAAACTGCTAAACCAAAGAATTATTATAAATAGTTGTTGTTTTAAGTCACTTTTAGGGTCATTTCTCTTTTAGCATGTATTTACTGATATAACCCCCTCTTTGCTATCATTAAGATTAAACTCTTTTAAGACTTTTTATGAGGTCCTTTTTGTAACTTGCTAATCTCACCTCTCACC